ATTCGACGTCACTATATATATATATATATATATATATATATATATATATATATATCGCATTGTGTTGTTCACGCACGAAAAGAATTTATTTTAAAAAAATGCTCGAATGAAAAGTTTTATTGGTGCCAACGCCAAAAAAGTTCATTCAAGAATGTAACCAGAAAACCGATTCACATAAAGATCACTTTCAAAGAAGACAAGACAGTTGCAATAGTACCTCGAGGACTAGCTTCGACACAAAATGGGACGTACAAATTCCGCTGGACCACGAGCTCTCAATCGTATCTATGGTTTACCAATACTCTCAGGTAAATAGTGATCAACACATTGCGCATACTAGATCAGGACTAAAGGCGAGGTGATGTATGCGCCTGTTCGAAGTTGAGGAATCGCATCACACTAGTACAGTTCTACAACCAGATAGATAGCTTTGGGGTTGGTGGCCTCAGTTCACCTCAGAATTCATACCAAATCACCCCCACTTTGTGTGCTAGGCTTTCTGTGGCCGCTGCAACTGATCGATCATCGCCGCCCCATCAGAAAATGCAGCTGGATGCTCCGCGTTGCCCTAACCATCACCAACATCATCATCATCATCGTTGACAGTAACACCATATAAGGACATCAACGCTTGACTACCATGAAATCATGTCCATTTGACTGAATAAAGCCTTCAAATGGGGAAGACGTATGGACCCAATGCCAGCCCAAACTTCGTCAAATTACCGCTTCTCAACTCTGACAGTCTTATCGTTTGTGAGATATATCCACAGGACGTCCAAAGCCTAAAAAATATATACAACTTTCATGCAATCTCTCATCCGAGCATACGGGCGACTGCCAAACTCGTGCAAAACGAGATCCGCACGTGAGCTAAACATGGTCTCGACTGTCAGAAAAGCAAGATTCATCGACATAGCATTCCTCCAACTGGCTTTTTTTCAGCTTCCTGACTCGTTACTCGGAAATGTACACATCGACCTGGTGGGACCGTTGCCACCGTCCAGAGGTTTCTCACATATCCTCATCGGTGTCGACCGTTTCACACGCTGGCCATTCCGAACCACATCTGCTGAAAATGTTGCTAGAGCCTTTGTCGACAACTGGATCGTCACATTCGATGTACCCGCTGCCATTACCACTGACCAAAGTTCACAGTTCGCGTCAACGCTTTTTCATGACTTCAAACGATTATTTGGTACGGATCCTTTCCAAACTACCGCGTACCATCCGGCTGCCAACGGCATGGTCGAACGCGTCTATCGAAAACTCAGGGCGTCACTGATCGCCTCCTCTAACACACACTGGTCGGAGCGTCTCCCGCCTTCTGATCACCTCAATGCGAATTCGCTGGGTCCAGAAGATTACACCTATGGTTCTTGTCAAAGACCTGAAGATATCTCCGGACTCCGAAGTGGTCAGCTCTCTCAGTCTCATTCGGGCGGCCTGTGAGACCCGGTGTATGCCTTTTTGACGCCACAAGTGACGCAAATTGAGCAACTCAATTCTACCCTGAGAGATTCACGCGTTCACTTACTCTTTCACACTATCGTTAGAGTTAATTCAACTTCCGAGAGAGGTATAGTGGCCTCCAGTATCAATCCTACAATTCTCAGAGGGATGGTCGAAGATTGCACGTCCTGCAGTGTGACTCTCCACTTTGTGGTCACGAAGCACACTCCGAAGGACTGGATGGTCACGAACAGAGTGGACCTTAACACGGTTTGTGTCCCTCCGTTACCGACTGAGCCATATTGGGGAGCATACGGTGTGACACTCACGAAACCCCTCATAGCGGGTTAATCAATGGGTTGAGGTGTGACTACCAGAAGTTGCCTGGTACTGCAGGTTAGGCGTTGGATTTTGTGCAATGACTATCTACTCAAACACAAAGACTACTCTGACGGTCTTGGGCTGCCTCGTAATTGAGCTTTTGAGCAACAGGCCTCGCTTGAGAACCCTAACCTTCCTCCCGTCTAGATCTGATTATCGGGTTGGTCGACTTACAACCAGAACACTAAAAGGCTCTTTGGCAGCACGTAAGCCTATGAACGGCACGCTTAAAAATAACCTCACGCCAAATTCGTCGTCGCTAGGTGCCGACAGCCGGGTCGCCTTCCTTGCTGCCTTGAGCACGGCGACAAAACGAAAACAGGTTACTGTTCATCCTTCCCTTCTGTTTCACATATCCTCTCCTGTTCTCCTCCTCATTCCGCGGCTAGCGGTGTTCCCGTAAGACCATTCTCAGGGACTGATAGATCCGTTCCGCGGCAATAGCTACAGTTGACTCGGTCACCACGGCTACAGATACTTCGAAATCATCTTTAAAAGCCCGCCGCTCGGTTCATCTGACGGCATATTCAACGTTCGCACTCCCAAACAGGCTGCAAACAGACTGTTCTTTTATGAACGCTGGACTCGCTTTTCATTTATGTGCGCCGTGTGTCTAAAAGAACGATTCACGACCCAAGTACAGTTGTTGAACTAACCTCCCCATCGATTTGCGCTCACTTCTGGTGATCCAGAAACCGCTGGCAGTGGTTCTGCTAGGATTGGACTGTTTCAGACTAGCGAGCTGAATGGTCTCTGGTCGAATGGTTACCGTTTTTATTCACCTCTGTGCGTTCGTTTGGCAACATCTACGACTGTGTCCCGCATTGATAACCTGTTCATTATGTCTGCTTACGCGCCAAAAGATACCTTCAAATACAGTTTTTAGAAAGTGGCAGCTAAGAGCTCGGACATTATTGCGGTTGCCGGGGTTATGAATGTGCAAGTAGGTAGATTGAACGTTACTGAGACCAAATCTGGTAGAGTCGAGGTACACAGTCAACGCCTAACGCCTGTTGCAGTTACGTGCTCAACACAGTCACTGCGCAGTACTTACTTCAGAAACAACCAGAGCCCCTTAGCCACGTGGCCACGTGGCGCCCACGTATACAAACCAAGCTGCAACATAGGTAGACCATACCACCATAAGTTGTACGTGGCGTGGGTCAATTACTGCCTGTCACTGGTTTTGCAAATACCTTGCGGAGTTGACTCTCAAATTACTTCGAACTCTTCGTGAAGAGACGAGTCAGCTGATCAGCTAACTTAACCCGTCTCTGTAGTCATGTGTTCAATTCTGCTTTGTAAGGCACCATGTGACGCGTTTTTGCCGCTTACCGACCTCAGTAAAGGCAAGTTTCTGTCTTCTCTCCAGTGTTACCAACATTCTAAATGGAAATAACTCATGTGGGTCGTGTGGGCTTAAGCATTGAATCAAGTAAGCCTCCCTCACAAATGGATACTGTTCTCCGACAGTGTCACGTGAACAACTTTGTAGAATGAGCGAAACAGTCAGTCAGCACGTTTGCTTCACCTATCGAACAAAATAGATGTATGTTGTTGAGCTACTAGAGAGAGCTCTGAGGGTAAAAGTGTCATTCAGTCGAGCGATATGCAGGCGTGTCTTGAACTCAAAGCGAAAATTCAGGCAGAGACGCGTGCCTTCGGAAAGAAGGTAAGGCTGGCCAGATTTGCCGTCGTGCTCTACTCAAGCAGTAGGCAGTGCTCGCTGTCATCGAGCGATCTCGCAATCTCAGCAGGTAGAATCCACAGTACGTCGTTCAAAGAGCGAATACACTCTGAAATTCATTGAACAACGAATCATCGAAGGAAAAATCCTGGCAGTAAGTGGACGCCACAGTCTCTGTTTGTATCATTCAACAGAAGGCCTCCAGACCTAAAGTTCCTTGTAACTGGAATGTAGGTTATCAATGCTCACGTGACAATACAATAATAATGATCTACTTACTTCCGGTCTTTGCGCGGATCGAACATTCCTCAGCTGTAATTGCAATTCCTGAAGCAACATAAACACATTATAGATTATAGCATTCTGTCCACCTTTCCAGGTGGGATTCATGACCCAAACGAGAAATACATTACAAAGATATACATGTATCGCGATACCTTGAATATCGTAGCGACTGAAACATGAGGCGGCCTGGTGCAGCACATTCAGTTGCCTGAGAACATCACAAGCGAGACATTCAGCTGGGTTCCAGGTGAGTCTCTCGAAAAACCAAATTAGTTTGCAAATGAGTGTATATTCGCTAATTTCGTGCAATTCGGTTTCAAGTAGAACATAAGATTGACGGAAACCTGGGGACCCGATGAGTCCCAAAAAGGATGAGATCAGTCGTGGGCTGTCGGCGGATTTTCAGCAACCTTATAAGTAGTACATTACAAAGATATACAAACGTGAATTACTTTTCGCATTGAGCAAGCTTTGAAGTCAGAGGAAACACTTGCTCAAAAGTATATGAGAACTCTCCCCACAAAACACGATGAAGATTGTATGGAATAGTTTACGAAAAAGGTTGGTGATAACCGGTAGATTTATTGTTGGGCAACGTTTCGCTTTTGTATGGAATTCCCCCTATTTTTCGCAATTGTTTCATTCCACAAAGCACGGAATGAGGTTTCATCAAAAATGGAAATCGAGAAGAAGTTGATATGAAACATTACTACACTTTAATTGAAATTTTCAGATAGCAATTTGACTACAACACATTTGCAGTTCCGCGGCAATGTGTGCACCAAAATCTCTCAGGATGGTCAGATTCTTGAAAATTATCGCAGAATGCCCGAAACCCTATGTGACCCTCAAACTTCGATAAGCGCCTATCAGATCAAGGTCAGCCAAGGCTCTTAAAAATACAATGCGAGGCCGTTTTACATGCAGGCACTCGCTTGTTTCCAATAAAGCTGTTGTGTTCCTCGTCTGCGGGTCTGGTACAAGGCACTGGAGCGGTACTAGGTGCTTCCAAATCTACAAAACGAAGCGCGTTAGTATTCTCTGTGGGTGATCAAACAGATTAAACGGGTTTTATAATTCATCGTACCAAGAATGGGTCACCGTATCGCAAATCATCTCTACCTGTCTTTGAGCAAACAATATTAAATAATCTGAATAATTCTGCCGCGCGGTTTGGCATGCGCTTCACACCTGCAAAGTGTAAAGTGCTACTGCAAGACTGGGTGGGCCCGAACCCTAACCTCATGCTTGCGGATGAACCGATTGAGGTAGTAGACAAATTTGTCTACCTGTGCAGCTGTATCGGTTCCGGTGATCTTGCGAATGATGCCATTTCCGTCCGGACTTGGAAGGCCAGAGTAGCTTTTGTGAACCTACGTCACCTGTGGCGTAGGCGTGACATCAGTTTCTCTGTCAAGGGTCAAGTTTACAATGCTGTGGTACGCTCCATATTACTGTATATGGATCAGAAACCTTGCCGCTGCGCGCCGAGGATGTCAAAAGAATTTCAGTGTTTGACCATCGATGTCTTCGGAGCATTGCCTGAATCTGGTGGGAACACCGGATCAGCAATTCTGAAGTACGTCGAATGGTATT